CAGCGGCGTTGAGTGAAAATTCTTGGCAAACTCCCTTGACTCCTCGGCGTCAATGCTGCAGCATTCGCCCTGGCATCAAACGTCGTGTAGTACCTCCGCGCTCGGCTAAACACCGGCCGTTAGTGCACGCCGGGCGTGGCGCAGACGGCTGGCTTTCGAGATAGTGGGCAACTACCAGTTTAGATGCAATAACCCACTCGAGCAAGCGCGAGCGCTCTTGTTTACATGCTTTTCCGCCAAACGGACAAACGGAGGAACTTTGCAAAATAATAATGATGCAAAGCTTCGAGGCGCGGTCGAGCACTCAACTCGGGGCAGTAGAGAAGAATTGCAGGGTGAAACGTTAGGCTCGCCATGAGCTACTTAGTCCCTTTGTTCAGCCACATTTTCCTGGAAAATGGCTCGGGAAGCGAGGAGTGCGTTTACTTAACCCTGGCCCGCCGCTGCGCTCGTCCGCTCGCTCGCCTTGACCTTGAGTGCGGGTGGCAAACTTGCCACGATTCCCGACAATCCGCCCCCCGCCCCCCAGGATCTCGCCTGCGAGCAGTCTGACCGTGCCCCCAAAACGCCAGCTCCGTGACACACACCGATGCGCATTGTGTGGATGCGGGCCGTCGGGCCGTCCCGTTGGATTCCCGACCGAAATACATGCAATGGCCCCAGCGAGCCCCAGCGGACCCCAGCGTGCCCCACCCACCCTGCAGCCGGCGGGCATCACGACAGGCAACAGCATGTGGGCTCAACGGGGCGCGCTCCAGCCCTATAGCCCGCGCTCATGTGGGGCTGCCAAGCAGGGCGAGCGGTCCCCCACTACCCAACTCGTTGTACACTTGTCTCCGCCCAACTCGCGTAAAACTCCAAAAACTCGCGAGAAACTCGGGAAATTTGCGAAAACTTGCGCTAGAATTGCGAAAAATGGCGCAAAACTTTCCAAAAACTGATGCCAACTCGTGCCTAACTCGCAGCAACTCGTCAACTCACCAACTCGTGGTAATGGTAGCCGACGCGGGTGCCTCAATTCTAAAATGAGAGTACACCGATTGCAGGTCTTGTGGGTGATTGGAACAGATCTTCTGAATATGTCTGATGAAAAATTTCATTTTCTGTCAAGTTTTAGGAAAGTGATTGGGGAAAAGAGAGCGTACACTAGTCATGGAGGCAGTATGGTACCCCCGGGTACCCCTCGGTCGCTGACGTCCGCATGCCACGGGCGCGCGCCGGGCCGCCACCGGGGGAGGCCAAGGCTGTGTCCGAGAGATTTGTTTACCCGGGCCAATCTAAACTGCAGCGCTGCCGGACCGCGCCCGCCCTGCTCCGCCCCGCCCAGGGCCTACACAATGCCCACTGGGATGTATACGCTGTCAGTCCGACTAGGGTAAGGCACCCGGTCTGATGAGGTGGGGTTGGAGCAGTCGGCAAAATAATCGAAGAGCACAAAGTTTTCAGCTGATCTAGCTAGACGATACGCCGACTATCACATCACCTTAATTCTCGGGGTGGTCAAGAAGTAGAACCAATTCTGTCGATATGAAATCGAACAGTACAAGTTTTTTTGGCAGGTTAGAATCACGGTGGTCTGTTTGTCCTGGGTTAGTTGTAGGATGACAGATTGATCCAGTTAGACGATACGTCGAGTTTCAACGGATACTATAGTTACATTCACTTATATAGTTACATTCACTTAAAATCCAACTTCGTGTAAATCGAATTAGGTGAAAATTACTCAAGTGTAACGGGCTGTGCCCGGGAGTATATCCACCCGGTTTGTTTGGAATTCCGCGCGCGAAGCCTTGTTGTGTACTCGCTGGTTGCTGCTGCTGCAGGGGGTGCGCGCAGATACCCCACGCCCACTGGGGTAACAACGCTTTATCATTTCGAACGACGTGGAGTACCTCCAAAGTGATGCACAAAATCCCCCCCCCCCAATTTCTTTCTTAATTTTTTTTAACTTCTGGTAGAGACAGTCTTTGGGACTGTCTACAAACCACAAAAACAGCGGTTGGATTACTATTTGGTTAAGGGGTGCCTGACCGAAAGGTTGTAAATGTCTATTCGCGTCCCCGACCCGGTGGTCTCCCGCAGGTGCGCACCATAGACTACTACGCCTGGGGCTGCGTCGCACTATAATCCCGGCTGTTTCACAGCGTCGGGTCGTTGTCCGTCGGGATGAGGAGGGACTCTCGGCCGCGGGCTCTGGCAGTGCTGCGGGGGCATCTTAATGGGGGGCGCCGGAAGCAGCTCGAACAGAGTCAACTTTTACTTCCCGAAAGGAATGTCGCGACGCGCGCGGCGCGCCCGTTTGTCTGCGGTCCAAATATACACACACACATGGGGATGCTACGGTCCAGTGTCGCGGGCGGGGCGGGGCGGGTGCAAGCAAGCCCATGTGCACGCCCGCACTCACGGCCAGACTGAAATAGCCGAGGCGGGGCGGGTGGAGCGGGGCGGGGCGGACAGCGATCGGTGATCGGCGCGAACACATGTGCCCCGCGCTGCTAATGCGCCGCGCCTCGCCACCCCGCCGCCTGTCTCAGGTGTGAAGGCGCTGAGTGAGACATCGAGGGAGCCCGCCCCGCCCCACCCCCTTGCACTTCTGAGGTCACCAGTGAGGTCA